CATCTGTGAAATGAGGACGGCAAAAATCCTACCCACAGATTTGGCACAATTCAATGAGATGGTGGGACAATGTTTGCATAGCCTTCCTTTATCGCTCTCTGACCCTGCTCCGCAGTCATAACACCAGTAATTTCTAGCCAGGTGTCCTTAGTTTCAATTTTGTGTATTAGATAACAGCTTCCTCCAGGAGGGGGAGAGAGAGGTAGAAATAGAGTATATCTATATCTACAGATATCTAGATATACATGTATGTATATATATGGAAAGAGGAGAGAGATTTGTGGAGGCCTTCCTTTAAATCACTTAAATGACTGGGATACAGCAGGCACTCAGTAAGTGTGGGTGATCTTCCTCCTACCGTATTCTATCCCATTCCATGGCTGGCACACATAGAAAAACTGAATGCACCTACTTTGATTGGGAAAAAAATGAAATATTTTTTTAAAAAGCTTATTTGCAAACATACCAAGAAGTTTACTCTAAGAACAACAGCTCACACTGGGATACTTAGTAGTAGCAGGTCCAAAGTGGTTCACATGTATCATTACATCTCCTTCTCAAGCAGTCCACCAAAGCAGCCCCAATATGCAAAGCAGCAAAGGGACAATGACTTGCGGGAGACTGAGGAGGAAGTGGCACAGTGCACCCGGTGGGATCTGGACCCAGGTTCGTCACTGCATATCACACACTGATCTCTTCCTCACAATGGGGCCCAGCATATGTTCCCTGAGACTGTTTTCTTCTGGTTCCACATCACTTCCTTTGAGTTCTAGTTTTTTACCTGTTATTTACTTACTTTGTTTTCCCCAAAGTATTTTCTCTTTGTTTCTAGTAGTGGGAAATGCGGGCCATTAGAAATGGCGCAATGCAATGGAAGAGAAGACAGAGATCCCAAGTGACAGCTCCTAGGCCAGCATTACCAAAAGCTAGAGGCAAGGTCACCCGCTCCACTCCACTCCTGGGGCCCTGCAGGGGTTTCTCTTTTCTGCATATACATTTATGGCCCCACTAATCATAAACAGTGCTGGATAGAAGGCAGACTCTCACTTCAAAGATTTAATTTTTATTTTTTGAGGACACACACACACACACACACACACACACACACACGGAGCATCCCTAATTCAAAATTCCCAGATGTCAGACATTCCAAAATCCAAAACACCTTGAGCACTGCTGTGACCCCACAAGTGGAAAATTCTACACCTGCTCTCATGTGACAGATTCAGTAAAATACAGGAGCACTAAAAATACCGCCTGCAATTACCTTCAAGCTATGTGTATATGAAACATAAACTTTATGTTCAGTTTTCAGCCCCATTCCCAAGATTATGTATATGCAAATACTCTAAAATTTTTTTAAAATCCAAAATTTGAAACATTTCTTGGACCCTAGCATTTTAGATAAGGGATACTCAACCTGTAATATGTACATATACATATATATTATATATTACAGGATACTTAACCTGTATTATATATTTATATATAATTTTTACTTTTATTTATTTTATTTAACATTTTACTGTCTATGATTAAACAGGTGGCAACATTTGCAATAAGATAAATATTGTTTGATGACGCATATTTCTGTATACAAACTCTAATATATCGCTCAAACAAAATAAAATTCCATTGAGAGTGTGAAAAAAAAAAAAGAACCATCAATAAAATATCCTCTGTTCTCTCCGGTCTCAAAACATTTGGACAGAAAGAAAAGCTGCTCGTCCGAGAGGCTAGTCCACCAGGGGCGATCTGGATCCAGTGAACGTGTTTCAAAGTCACTGCCAGGGTCTGAAATGGTCCTGAGTTATCTGAGTAATGTGAAGTATGAGGAATTTCTGTGGAAAAATCAACATTTCGAAGGGGTCAGATAATACAAAACCCCCATTCTACTTCAAGTGTGTGTATGGAGGAAGGAAGGACAGTAAAATAAATTAGATTTCTTAAATGAAACTTACTGAGTAACAGTTTATCTAAGGGTGCAAGCAATGAATGTGAGGACTCGGAGGTGATCGCCAAAGGGAAAGAAAATAAACACTGCTCACATTAACATACACAGCTCTCTTTCATTTTCTCCCAGATCCATTCAGAATCCGCAGGCTAATCTTTCCAACAGTTCCTCCCACCCCTAGTATTTTCCCTCCCTATACAACCGAGACTGCTGTCTTTTTCTCAATTCCAGGACGACAGTAAAATGCACGGCTTTCTGGAGACCCAGTGAAACTCAGTGCCACGGCCACAAACCTCGCCCCAATCCACCCAGTCACTGTAATATGGAAGTGCTTGGAGGGAGGCAGAGCTGAGCGATGAGCAGAAAAGGCGCTGCTTGCAAGTCTCTGATGGACATGCCCATCTCACACGGACCTCCTGCCCTCTGACTCCGCTTGCAAAACTGGGTGCTCCTTCCTGGTTTCTTAAAAGGCCCCCAAATCACAATCAGGCCTTCCCACTGAGGGGCAGCCCCCTAGATGTAAAAAGGGCACACGTGCAGAAGTGGTGGGAAAGCAGGCAGAAGCGAGGTCTGGTTTAGAAAACGCTCTGTACACAATGCAAGTTGGATACTCTGTGGCACACCCACTCCAGGGCATGGATTCCCTCCATGTGCAAGAACCACAGTTGTCCACCTCATGGCCCCTGCCGTGCAATACACAGATAAAGTGTTTGCATCCAGGCAGATGCCCCTGCAGCTCTTTATGAGAGCCACCTGGAAAACCGCAGAGATTCTTTTTTAACTCTCCCATTCTCAAATGTCCCTCCAAAGCATCCTGCCAGCAGCTCTGGAAGGGTCTGGAAACCAACTGCATGTTGCAAGGGCCTCTGGGGCTTGCCCATCGGTCTGCTCAGCTCCTCGCCTGCCACCCAAGCTCCAGCTCCACTGGACTTCAGGAACAGCCTGCCCCCTTCTGGTCTCCCTGAGCCCAGGGAAGGGCAGGGGCTGGGTGGGCACAGCTAGAGGAGGACAGACCCCCGGCTCTGGCCAAGATGTGTGCGCTGCCACTTTGGCACCTAGCAGTTCATAGGGGTAGATGTGGGGAACGGGGGAGAGGAGTGAGGTGAGCAAATAAAATAAAATGCAAGTCCAGGAGCAGCAACAGTGGCCTGCAAGGAAGGCAACTACCAGCAAGGGAAGAGTCGAAGAAAAAGAGGGGGGGGGGGTGGACTGAATGGATTGGAAAATGAAAAAATCGAAATCGAGACATTGTGGAGCAGAGGGACAATCAGTGAACTTCCAGATGAAGACAGCGTTTCAGAAAAGGAGAGCAGCTCCACTGCTGGAACTGCAACTCCAAAAGGAAGATGGAACCGCCGCCCCCCCCCCCCCAGCCTTGCAAACCCTACAGCAGAGAGGGAGACACTGAACTGAACACACAGGAGAGGTCCACGCTGGATGCTTAGAACATCAGAGACCGAAGAAGAAGCCTGCCAGCCTGGCCTCCTTCCGTCACTCCCTTCTCTTGTTTCAACAGGTGGCACTGCACCCCAAAGGAATCTCCTGAATCCAAGAAGCGAAGGATGCAGCCAGCCCCATGTCCCCTCCACAGGCCCACCCTACACGTTCCCACCCTGAGCCTATGGTATTTGCCCCGGACCAGCCCCTCCCTCCCAGTAGGGCTCGGAATCCAGAAAGGACTTCTAATTGCACTTCCTCCGGAACACATCACTGTAGACTCCAGGAGTCCTAAGGCAGAGCCTCTGAGTGACCTTCCCTGGAAGGGAGAGGCTGCAGGACACTGCGAAGGCGCTGCCTCTCCATCAGCTATCTCACTCCACCCTCTCCCCACAAATGACACAAAGTTCCCCTGCTATCCACACAGCAACGTGAAATGCCAGCAGCCCATCACATCATGTCTTGGGCTGGCTCAGCCCACAGGCACAAAGAGCTGCGCTCCCGAAAAGAGGGTCGAGTCGACTCCAGAGAAGTTTAGCAGATCAAGAGGTACATGTGCAAAGGCAGTCTTCAGTGAGGGCTCCCACAGTGACAAATGACAAGGACAAGCATTCAGCCCCTAAGGGTCTGAAAAACACCTCCCTGGGGTCTGACATCCCTGCCGGCAAGGGGCATGATGAAGACGCAGACAGACACACACACTCCATCGCAGCACACGGAGCTGATGCCCTGGAGCGGAGCTGGGGAGTCCGACCTCCTGCCGCTAGCTAGGCAGCCTGCACAGGAGAAAGGCATCTCCGGAGAAGATGGGTCTGGAAGGAAGACAGGTCAGAAGGTTGCTACTCAGCCAACCCAGGGCTCCAGAAGACCTAGGGAAGACAGTTTCACACCCAAAGAGGAAACTCCGAACAAGGTGCCTGTGAAGTGTGGGTCGACAGACAGCTCGTGAGAGGAAGCGGCCACACAAGCTGGAGGGACAGGCAGTCCGCTGGAAGGGACCAAGCCCTGAAGCTGGAGGTGGGGAGGGGGCAGTCAGGAGGACGCGGGAGCGGAAGGTTAGAGACAGGGAGGTGGAAGCGGGAGGTCAGACATCCAGAGGGAACGAGAGACGCTGAGGAAGACCGGGTACCCGAGACCAGGTCTCCACGCAGGCACATGAGGCGAAACCCTGGGCACTCACTCATCCCAGACCCCTTTCGGGCCAAAGCAGACCCGGGACTCAGCTGTCTGCGCCCAACTCGGCAAAGAGCAGAGAGAGGCTGCCGAGAACCGCCTGGGCTCCGCGGCCGAGGATCGGGTGCAATGCACACGTACTCAGGCAGGCGGGCGGGCGGCGAGGCGCCCACACCCACACGCAGGAGCAAGTCGGGCGCCCAGCGAGAGCGACGGGAAACAAGAACCCAAGCGGGCTGAGGAGCCCGGAGCGCCTCCTCGGAGATAACTTCCCAGACCCCAGGGGGCGGCCCTCCGACTCCGGACCGGCGGCGCGCCCCCAGCCTCCCGGGGCAAGCCGCGCCGTGGGCTGGGCGGGCTTGCGGAGCCCCTCCGCTGCCCGAGTCCTCCCGCCCCCCTTCTCCCCAGCGAGGCGCGCGCAAGGAGGGCATCTTACCCGCGCCCGGGCGGGCAGTGCCCCGCGGCCGGCCGGCTGCTGCGCCCGGGCTTCTCCGGGGCCGCCTGCCCGCGCCCGCGCCGGGGGACCCCGTCCTCCGCCTCCTCCTCCTCGGCCGCCGCCGCCGCCTCCTCCCCGGGCTGCAGCCGGCTCGGCGGGCAGGTCCCGGCGCTCGCGGCGCGGGGCCGGGGCCGGGGGTGGCTGCTCGGCTCCGCCGACCGCTGCGCCCCCGCGGCGCTCGCCGGCCCCGGAGTCGAGGCTGCTGAAATTCCACACGACCAGCGTCTGCAGCAGCAGCACGGTGAGCGCCGCGAGCACCGCCGAGTGCGAGCGCCGGGCCAGCCTCCGGGCGCACGGCGCCGCCACCATCTTCCGAGCCGGGGGGCGGGCGAGGAGCGAGCGGGACGCGGGGAC